CCCCCCCGCAGCGCCCCCCTCAAATCCATCGCTCGACAATACCGTTACTTGAAAGACTAGTCGTGACTCGTGAGCTCGCAGCCCATATTTTCAGACGTCCAGGCCCCGTTCAGTTCTTGATGCAATGCAGGCGATGCCAAGAATAACTCAAAAGATTGAGCATAATGAACGGAAGCCCTGTGCCGAGGATCGTAGAGGGTTGGCTTTGGAAGCTCAGACTTTGCGTTCTTCTTCATGTAGAAGTGGCGGTAGTGGCCTAGCGTGAGAGAGAGGGCCGTACGTGATGTTCAAAGCCTTCGTATCTTTGCAGTAGAAAGCCCGCGTAGACAATTGACTGAAACTGATAACATGTAGCAGAAGCAGTTGAAGAAGACGATCACTTGGCGAGGCTTCTGGAGGCATTCTGAGTCCCCCGGTTCACAACTTCCAGAACAGGGTATTCACAATCGAAACTAGCAACGAATCCGACGAGCCTTTCTCCACATCATTGGTGCAGATCGCCACGAACTCAAACACAAACTTGCCTTCATTTAACCTCGGGCGCAGGGCTCGAGCGAAAGCCGAAATAAGCTGAGGAGAGGAGGTCTCCACAGTGACCCGATAGCAACCCTCCAGCACTCTAGCAACGGAACCGCGGCCTCGGTTGCCTGCAGTGACAGTGGTCGGCTTGAACGCTTGTGATTTGGGCAGTAGGCCTTCCGGCTTTCCACCTTGATCCCCAACCTCCGAAGCACTTTCTGAAGCCAATTTGAAGCCCTTCAATGTCAAGCCTAGTCCAGGATAGAACCCACGGTACAGACACCCATATTCTGACTTCCCGACTCAACCCATCTCCTGAGTGCAAGTGCAAGCGAAAGCATTCACTCACTCTCCCTCTGAGATCCAGGCCATTCCTCACAGACAATTCGAGCCTTCTCCTGGGATTTTGAGACGAAGAGCATTACGAAGGTGAGCTTCAGATGACTTCATCTAAACTTCTCGAAGGGTCACATGGAAACTTCGTGTCTCGGGAAGATCATGAGTGGCCTCTAGTCATCATCAGTAACCCAACACTCATGAATGCCTGGGCCGACACAGACTGTGTAGTGTGAACCAAATTTGGGAATGCTGTCTGCTCATGTGGCGTTCTGCCACGGACGCTGAGAAACTTTGAAGCTGCCGCTGTTCGAACAACTGTCACGTTTTTCCGGCTCGTGTTTGTAGTGCACCCTGCAAGCTCTCTCTCTCTCTCGAGACTCTCTCTCTCTCTCTCTCTCTCTCTCTCTCTCTCTCAGAGGAGAGAGAGAGAGAGAGAGAGAGAGAGAGAGAGAGAGAGAGAGAGAGACAGAGCCAGAGCCGCCTTCTTTAAGACCCGGCCCCCCACGGGCGCCACAATGCAAGCCTCTCCTTGAAAGTCCTCCCCGAACTCAAGTCAACCGAATCCGGACATATCTGGACCGGGCGACATGGCGCGCGAGGATCACCAGCCCGGAAACCTGCCGCTGCCACACTAAGGCCCAAAAGGGGGTGCCGATGTTCCAGCACGAGTTCGGGCATCCCGCTCTGCCATCAACATTTACCTCGAAGGCTCAACCCTCGGCCAAAACTCGTCGAGACAGACTCCCGTGGACAACAGGTGGCAGTTAAGGACATCGCAAGCCGACTAGTTCTCTGTTTCGCCGTCACCCAACTGGCCCGTGCCTCTTGAGAGAGTCCAGCACTCGAGTCAATCAAGTGAGAATCAATCTTTGCACAAGACTTCAGGCGCCGGGCTGATCGAGCCCAACGGCATGTCATTTCAAGCTCTCAGGCGCATGTCAGGCTGCCAAGCTCCATCTGCACAGCTGCCACAGCGACATCCTTGGGAAGACATCCAGGTCAAGATGTTGGGTCTCGGTGGCTTGCAGTACGCGACATCCTTGGGAAGACGTCTAGGTCAAGCTGTTGGTTCTCGGTGGCTTGCAGTACTCCCAGCCCAAAATGAAAGCAGTTGTGGCTGATCGGCGTTTCGGAACTCTGAGGAGTGCAGGGTTTGAGAAGCCCTTGGCTAGCGCAGACCTGCTTTTGCGAGTATAGGTATGTTCCCAAAGATGTCGTATTCACACCTACATGCATGTGCACACAAGTATGTACGTATGTGCATGTGTGTACATACATACATGTATGTGTATATGTATATGCATTATATGCATATTTGCAAACATCTCGTTATCCAAATACATATACACACGCAGATATGTTCGAGTGTGCTGGTTTGTCAGGTATACATAGGGCTTACTGTGGACGTCACACACAAATAAATGCACGTATCTTTAGTTCTAATGCTAGCCAACCGCACCTGCACGGGTGACAAGAAGAACATGTCATGTGCACCCTGAGCGCCTCAAGGGAAACACTTCACATGCAAGGCCCTGCCTGCCCGCCTTGCTCGTCGCAGACCGACCTCCCCTTCAAAAACTGGAGAGATCTGATGAGATTCCCACTAGATCGATGCCTGCCCTGGTCCAAACCTACAATATTGTGCATCCCTGAGTATCGGCCCTTGGCCTCCCTGAAGCTCTGGATCTCAGACATTATAAATGTGTCCAAGCTGCATGCTTGGGAAGAAGATCCGCAATGGCAATCTCCGAGAAAGACCATCCTGGCATTGCTACTGTTTTGGTGAGGACGACCATTACTGCATATGGCTAGGGTGACCATACGCATGCACATTATCTTAACTCAGACCGAACGACCATAGGATTGCCATTCACACCATTGTTTTTACGGTTGCATTCGACAACAGCCATAGTGCTCGTATGATTTCATATTTGCTTCTTCTGGACACCATCACGATCATCCTCATCACAGTCATTGCCAACACCAACATGAACGTGACCATCATCATCATCATCATCATCATCATCATCATCATTGTCTCCGGCTTCTTCACCATCACCATGATCAAAACGGCTACCATTAATGATGGTGTCGAGGTTGTGCTCTGTCTGACCAGGCTTAGGCTAAGTTTGATGATTCTCAAAAACAAACCCTCTGGGGTTTCGTGTATGTCTTCGACATTCCACTGACCGAGCAAGCCGTGCAGTCCAGAAGTGCCCTTCTGAGCTCTAAACTGCTAGCTTAAACGGATGCAGTGTTGATCCTGACACACAATATCGCCATCACAGGCCCAGGTAAGCGACTTGTAAAAGCTGCACCAACAAAAACGTTCTGTACACTGTACAAAGTTGGAGAGCGACCACATCGGCTGGGCTTTTGCCAGCGGCAGATGGAGGGAGCTCAGCTTCCACGATCTTCAAAGAAGACAAACGAGACCTTTGTCATCAACTGGGCAGGGGCGAAGAGTAGACGCAGTAGCAGCGGCCATTGGCAGCGGCGATAGCGGCACGAGAGGTCAGCGTTGAGTGCTGAGACTACGCAATCATGTCGGGCTCCTCTCGAGCAGTGGCCTAGACAGCGCCAGGAAGCTGTCCAGAGCGTTTCGTGCATCTGCAGCACAGTTGCGGGCCTCGTCAGCATGTGCCTGTAGCTTCTTCTCCATCGTGATGCAATGACCCCACCATGTGACGGTAAAGAAATGCAGGAAGCGCAGTTCTGCCAACAGGTTGCAAAGGATCTCCCGCTCGGGATTTCCGTTTCCTGTCCCGAGCCAGGGTGCACAGAGGTCGGGCTCCCTTGGGCCCCAGCTCACGTTCTCCCAATCGATGATTCCGGTCAGCTTTCCCGTGCTTGGATCGCACATCACGTTGCCAGGGTGCAGATCGCCGTGGCAAACACCAAATTCGGCACAAGAGTCCAACATCGCCGCTGGTGTGGCTTCATACTTGGCCTGGTAGTGCAAGATGAATGCCCTTGCCTCAGCAATACCTGGGAGCATGTCCTGCCGATCGACTTCCCAGCCAGATGCGCTGTCCTCCTGGATACGTGCCACCTGTCTCGTGCTTGCTACCCTGAAACCCGAAGCTTGCAATCCGAAAGCCCCCGACAAAAGCATCTCTCGTGAACCGCAAACCTTCAAACCCTTGTGACTTAGCGGCCTATCCCTCTTACCCAGTCGAGACACTACATCGTCCAGGGACCCAAGAGCGAACTCCGCGAAGCCGTCCCGCAGAGGCAAGGGCGGTCCATTCACGGCCCACTCAACGCCCGTGGCGGGACTCCCATCTCCTGGGCACATGAGGGGGAGGAATCCTCCTGGCGGACTTTGCCAGGCCGACGACAACAGAACCCAGTATCAAGAGTGCTGTGTCGCTCTCGTACTCGGCTCGGCGTCTGAGTGCGTGCGCTAAGTGTGGGTGTGTGCGGGGAGGCTATAGAGGCCAGCAGAGGTTCAGTAAATTCCGGGCATAATTCGGACCAAGGCTCTCAGCACACGGAAGCCGGACACCTGCTCCAATCGCCCACCAGGACAGGAAAGAGCGCCGACGGCCTCGAGCCACTCAGCGATCTGCTTGACGTAGGCCTGCCGCTCGTCTTCCGAAGACGACTCCCAGATGCTCTGGAGCTCCACCCCAGGAACCCTTTCCATAAGGATGTACTCAGCACCAAGCTGAGAGGTTTCAGTGTCGGAAGACCAGCCGAGGACCTCCGGTATTAGGGACACACCTTGCTGTCTCAGAAACCGCATAGCGGCCACCTTGCTCTCGGTATTCCGGGACTTGCGCCATGCGTGTGGGTTGGACACTTGAAGGATAAGCGGCCTGGTGATCCCGTGCTGCTTCACGGACAGGGCCCAGTTGGGATTCACGTTGAAGGGCCGCGCTGTGCAGCCCTCGTGGTCACCGAAGGTGCAACCGGGATGGCCTTCCGGGAGAAAATCGAAAGCGAGCAGCTGCAGCCCCAAGCTCTCGCAGAGTGTTGCGACGTTGGGCTCTGTGACCGCCGAAAGAACCTGGGTCAGCTCCGCCAGTTGCTCCTCAACCGCGGGATGCGCAGGCCTTGACCAGGAAAGGTCATGGGACCCTGCTGCATCTGCCATGCCCAGATATGAGATGGAAGCAAAAGAGCTGCGGCTAACTTTGCACGCTGCAAGTTTCACTGCAAATGCAAGCACGCATTACTTCTCCAATGTATGAAAACATGCTCGCCGCACTCTCAGGCGTCTGTCATCTTGGTATGATTATGAGCTTCTGAGCCCAGTCTTCTAGACGCCACGGCAGTAGCCAACAAGCGCAGTGACAGACCCACATAAACACCACATCACGAGACAACCCACAGGTAGGCCGCACAAGTCTAGGGTCCAGGATTGCCCATCTGGCATTGAAGCATACCGAGATGATCCCAAAGGCCTACAGCACCACCCCGGAAACACCGGCTCCGGCCACCTTTCCGTACTCCATCAGCTACCGCGCCAGGCGAACTTCGGAGGTTCAAAGCTGCTGGGGAAGCCTGACAGGCTTCGCTGCATCGCGTTCTGAGAACCATCACTGATCTTCTAATCCTCCGGGTGTGTCCAGGAATTCAAACGTTTTGCTGTTTTTCGAATTACTAGGGTTCATAAGAACCTTCAAACAAGGATTTTTGGGGTAGGTTCAGGTAGGCTCCACGTCAGTTGCAGAACCCAGGAAGAGCTTCGCAACAAAAGGAAACTGACGGGCCTCCCGATCGCTGCGAAAGGCGTGGGATAAGAAGTGAATGGCCTCGGCACAAATTGAACGTCCAGTTTTTTCTTCAACACGATAAGTAGCAGCTGTAGGCTACGAGCCCAAGAAGATTAGCAGTGAGATGAAGATTCAGACAAGTGTTGGTGAGGATGGGCTATAGAGCGTGTCTCGTAGGCCGGGGCTGGTTTCAGCCTTAACACTTGTCCTAGCCACAAACGACTCAACCGATGTCTCCTTGCGGACGGGGTGCGCCCAAAGTGCATGCGGAAGGCATTCAATACACTGCGCCAGATTCCAGCTGAACACCCGCACATGGGACAGCAGCCGCCCATACAACTGCCCGTGGTACTTATGGGAACCAGGAGCCAGCTGTTGAGGATCAAGCACTCTGACGTAACGGTTCTGTGTCATCGTCCAGGGTACCCGTAATTGCACGAAGTGCATGTCGTCGCCCAGGTAAGCTCACGGTGCGAACCTGGGCGAAGACATCATCTTCGTGCCGTTGGTTGAAGCCCACATCCGCCACATCAGCGAGTGAAACGCCTGCATGAAAGAAGGTGGGTACTGCCACTCTCCAGAGAGTGTTGTTGCCGGGGGCAGAAGCTCCTCGCAGACAGTGCGATCGGCGCTGGTTTTGTCAGCATCTCCACCGTTTCGTCCAGGCCTGCTTGCACAGCAGCTGTCTTGCGCACTGAGCAGTGAGATTTCCACCACTGAGTCACTGGGCCTAAGCACAGCCTGCTGGCGCCGGCGACTGAATTCGCGATCTAGCAAAGGCTCTCGATCTTCGTTGCACCTTGCCCTACACCCTGAACCCTATGTTTTGTTTAGGTTCCAGACAAGTGATCAGCTTGGATCTCGGTCGCACCAAGCTCCCCATTCGCTCGCTACATGCGTACATTTGGCTGAAAAGGTTTCTCTTGATCCCGGTCTTGCAGCCACATTCCCGAGGCCTGGCATGCCTGATCGTTGCTCGAGCCGTCAGCAATCACCGGGACTTTTCAGACACACTCTAAGTCCTGCGGCTGAAGGTGCCCGGGACATGTCTGTCAAGCTCGTTGTGGCCGCCCGCAAAGATGCACAACACTGCATGCACGGAAGCAACCTACCCATGAGTGACATCAAAGTTCTCTCAATGGCTGGCAGCACCCGGCTATCTGATATCCAGCGTAGCGGCACTCAACATCAGAGCTCCATGCTTCCGGCCTCGTCATCAATGCAGGTCATGGGCGTCATGTTCCTTGGATACGAGTGAGGTGACAACTTCGGGGGATCCGAAGTCTGGAGCTACATGTCCGGTGACCGGTGTTGGCAAATGCGAAGCCTCACGATGACTGCAGCCTTGGACCACGGCAAAAACGAAGTTAAAGCTAACAAGAATTACATTGATTCTGCGGTTTCTTCACGGTCAAACCATCCGAGACCACCAAGTTCTGAAATTGCGGACAGCATCAGCCAGCAAAGCACAGGCAGCACAAAGTACAGCAAACAGCGAGAGAAAGTTTCGACCATCGTCGGCTCATTCCTTGCTTCGAAGCGGTTTTGCTATTGCTTGCATGCATTCTGCATAACCTTTAGGTGCGGTGATGCTATCGGGATGCGCTCTCTGTAGAGCTCTTCTCCTCTATACTTGCGAACCGTCCGAGTTGGCGCAGGAATGTCTCTGAAAGACAGAGGAAGAATCGCAGGCCCGAGCTCAACAAAGGACAACAGGCAATCCGATTGTCCATCTTGTGCTGTCCCGGTCTGGGAAGATGCTTGTAGCGCCGGATCCATTTCGGGCATTCCGTAAAAGCTCACAATGGGCAACTCGGACACCCTTCTTGCTTCTGTCGGGAGCTGCTTCTCGGAAAGCAGGTCTCACGCCGACAGAGCGAAGCAGATCGACGGCCAAAGAGATGAAAATCAGGCCAAAGTCGGCAGCAAAGCAGTGAACAAGCGGGCTCTGCAAATCCACAAGTCATTGTGATAGATAGTGCCGCCTTGGTGCAAGTATGCAAAGGATGTCCAGAAAGTTGCTTGTAAGGAGTAGACGCAAGTTACAAATCGTCTTGAACAGCCAAACACAACAGGAACCTCGACCTCCCACAAAGCCTCCCCAGAATCCGAGGCTCTTGTCGTCCATGCCCAGCTCAACCTCCTGGACTGACCGCACCTGGCATCAAGCACTTCTTCGTACCCCCGCCAGGCCCTTCAGCAAAGCCTTATTAGGACTTTCAGGTGGCACGGTGGCACAGCTCAAGTAAGAAACCGGAAGTCTGCCAGATCCGATAGCCTAGGATCCGGCTGGGATCCTGACTCAAGTGACCGAAATGTCCCCAAGAATCAGCAAAACCGCGCCATCTACAGAAAATCTCACTCCCCGTGGCTGCAACAACTGAGATCAAAGAGCCTGTCCGGCTCCATCATCAGAAGCGACAACCCCCGATCCTCAAGTCTCGAAGCCTCGTGAGTCTACGTCGACTCTGGGAAAACCGCAAACTCCGGGTTCCGCGCGTTGAGTCCATCCGCCACAGCACGGCTCAACGTCTCCTTTCCGTTGGTAACCTGGCATCATGGATATTGGGAATTTCAGAGACTATCCCCGTTTCAGTAGCTTAAGCAGCTTGGCGTTGTCGGGCTGCAGTAGTATGAGATGCCGAGGGCGGCTCTTTCAGTTTGGCAACGCCTCCAAACGCGGAGCTCAAGTCAAAAGCTTGACGGTCCTATGTCCTGCTTTTCAAGACTTACAACCGTACCTCTCAAGAGACCACAACCGTGTTACTGCGGCTACTGTTGATACTATGCTGCCTCTAGACGGTTACTACTACTTCTACTGCTGCTGCTGCCACTGCCAGTGCTACTGCTAGTACTGCCCGTTACCACCAGTACGAGAACGACTACTGACTACTGCTACTACTACCGCCATCACGACCACCATGACCAGCAAAACCAACGACAACACTGCAGAGACTGTTCTAGGAGGGAAACTTCAAGCAGCATTCGGAGCAGAACCAATCTGCAGCACGCCCGGAGCGACTGGGTTTAGAAACACTGGCAGCGAAAGAACGCAGCAGGTATTGGCTCCCTGGTCTGCAACACCTAGGACCTGGGACCTACATACCAAAACCTGCTGGCAGGACATGCGCATGGCAAGGGAGAAGCGGCGGCTTGTCCACGACGACGAAGTCCTGCCCCAGGAGCGACAGCAAACGGGTCGAAGATTTGGGGACTTTGCGAGGCAGTACAGATGTACGTCTGCGTGGGTGCGTATATGTAGATGCCTTGTGTATTGTGTCTGGTCCGCTGCGCATATTGTAGTACGAAGTATAGTATGTGATATGTCTCATATACAAACATGTATGTATGTCTATATGTATGTGTATGTATGTATGTATGTATTTATGTATTTATGTATTTATATATGCCATGCATGCACACATGACCCTGGATGCGCGTATGCTGTGAATATACTCATGTTGGTGTGCACACATACGTATGTACAAACATGTCCACATAGAGACAGGTGCGCATGCTATACACCTAGGTGAAAATATACATGTGTGTGTATATATATATATATACAGATTTATTCATTAGTGCGTGTACGCATATACGGTTCGCATACGTGTACAAACACACATACGTATGCACACAAAGCACAATACATAGTGCTTAGGCTTACGCTCAAATCAATAACAAAAGTGGGAGAGAGAGAGAGAGAGAGAGAGAGAGAGAGAGAGAGAGAGAGAGAGACAGAGAGAGAGAGCCGGAGAGAGAGAGCCGGAGAGAGAGAGCCGGAGAGAGAGAGCCGGAGAGAGAGAGCCGGACAGAGAGAGCCGGAGAGCGAGAGAGACAGAGAGAGAGAGAGGAGAGAGCAAAAAATATGTTGATTCAGCAATATACGATTACGCTTCCATCCAGCTACACGTTTCAGTATCCTTCGGTCATTATTCGTGGAATTGCTTGGGAAGGGTGCGCCAGTCACGGGCTACATGTACCCGCACCATACACAGTTCGACTGCAGACGCAGAAAAAAGAAAGAACACAGAATACAAGAAGCGACCCCTTCCACTCCAAACGATTTCTGCCACAATGTACGTCCAACCGACATGTTGGGGTCTCCAAGTGCTTTGAGAATCCCAGCTGCAGTCCCGATCGACTTTCTTGATCCTTTCGTCCCAGTCATCCAGGTAGCACGTCTTGTAGCGCTCTGGATTCGGGAAAACTCGAAGCACCTGTCGTGGAAAGGCTAGGCCCTGACCTGCAAGTAGACCGACTGGTCTCTGGTCTCTCACTCTCTCTCCTTCCACACCAGCACAAGGTCCAGACGGTACCACAAAAGCCACGGAACTCCTCTCTCCTTTGGCCACAGGTTGCTTTCAGGATCATGGGACTTAGTAACTAGGGTCACAAACAAGGTATCTATGCTTATGGTTTCTCACACAGTAGCCCAAATTGAACCTCCAAGTAATGCCAATTTCAGGGCTGAGCACACTGGTTACAACCTTGCCTGTGCCCGTGTGCCTGTCTGTCTCCGTCTCACGGTGTCTCTGTCAGCCGCTCTCTGCCAATGCCAGACATACTTCTCCTGTAAGTCACAAGCATGCAGAAAGCAGCCGGTGGTGCCGTGTCGTAACGAACTTTCTGCGGCTTCATGATTCGAATCCAGTCCTGCCAGATTTCATCAATGTTGCTTGCATCCAAAGGCTTCTGGGTGCATTAAGCTGTCACGGTCCACAACTGAGTTTGGCTCGGGAATTCTGCGGTCAGACCTCCTGCGTGTCAAGAACCCAAGATATCCCTGCAGCTGAGTTCTGTCCCGTTCTTCGAACTCGTCGTAGAACCATACTGCACCTGGAGACGCTCAGCTGTGTAGCCGTGAAGCTCAGATGACTCACAGTCTTACCTTGCATGGACCTCCCGTGACTTCCCAAGACATAAGGAGGCGGCCGAGATTGACAAGTCTTGAAGCTGTTTCAGGGGGAATGTCCAGCTCCTCAGCCACCACGACATTCACCGCCTGGCAGGACACAGAATCACCAGCACATGCTGTCGAACAAGGCTCGGCAGCCTGCTGGGTCTGAAGCCCGACAAACCCACTTGGCTCATGGAAACATGTCGGCACCTGAAGCCTAGAGAACATCGCAGCAAGGCGTTCCTAGATGCCCAAGTCTACCTAAGTGCTCACACGTCGGGTGCCTCCTGCTCAGGGCCATCCCACCTGCAAACCAAACAGGGCTCCATGCTTGAAGCTGGTAATTAAGACGTGAGACACATGGCCACATCGCACATGTTCCGAGCTCATACTCCGCAAAACATGGCATTCCAAGTCCCTGATGCCTTTTCAGACATTGCAGCGGACTGACGGTTGAGCCAGGGTAATATGCGAAGCATCATCTGCCAGCTACGCATACAGCATTACCGGGTTGATGACAACGAACAGCGGGCCGCCACAACAGGTTCAATCAAAACTTAAGCGCATGAAGGAGACCACTGCTATCTGACAACGCTGGGGCCTGTTTCTATTCTGGTGGCCGAGGCCGGGCGTTTGAAACCAAGAAAAACACAACATCGCACAGCTCCCTATCTCTGATCGAACATGAAGCCGTAGTTCCACGCCAGGCGACGCCAGAAACAAAAGATATGCAGCAGGCAGACAGATGATTCCTAAGCTGAAGTCATCGAGAAATTGGGGGAAGATGCTGTGTTGTCCGGCACCAAGCGCTTTCCCCTAACCTGACCCACAGGCCACACACCTGCCTCTCTCTGATTTCGACGTAGGCATTGGGGCTGCTCGGGCCAGTCCCCACATCGTCGCCGATGCGATGCCGCTGCCGATCCTCATGAATCGGACTACTGAACGGACTTAGGGGTGTCAACATCGATCAGCCAATGCTGCTCATGGCGATTGGATCCTACCTAGCCAGGTTTGTTCCTAGGCAGGGCCCATGGTATGGCATGCGATCTCTGAGAGACGAGGTCAGAAGACGACTTGAAAAAACACCTTTGAGTTGTGGTCATAATTGTCTCAATTCTTCCAAGCGTGCCTAACCACTGATTGGCTGCCACAGCCGAAACTTTGCACCCTCCCGCCACAATCTCTGACCCATGAATTCGGACGGTGCCTGCTGCGCGCGTTCCCGGGCCGTCCGCCGAGCGTCATCTACCCACGACTTTGCCACCATCTCCTGCAGCCGCCGATGTTGTGCACTTAAACTTAAACGCATGCATGATGCAACATGCAACGTATATATGCAGCTGACATACAACCACACACGTGCAATTATCTGGATGTGCTTCTACGCTTGCACCTGCCCACCTCATGTTTCTATTTCTGTGGCACATAAACATATGACAGCAGTAGAAATAGCAGCAGCAGCAGCAGCAGCAGCAGCGGTAGCAACAGCAGCAGCAGGAGTAGCAGCAGTAGTAGTAGCAGTAGTAGTCGTCATCGCGGCAGAAGTAGTTGTAGTAGTAGTGGTAGTAGCAGTAGTAGTAGCAGCAGCAGTAGCAGTAGCAGCAGTAGTAGTAGTAGCAGCAGTAAGAGTAGGAGTAGGAGTAGGATCCTGACCCACTAGCTGGGAGACAAACAAGCCGGTCGGCGATCCCCTAAAACCAGCTTGACATGATACGCAAACATCATTCACAGTGACTTCTAATTCCAACTTCCCTCCTGCTGCCTGCTGCTAATGGTTCCCACCCATGTCATATCCTGCGACCCTTCATATCGCCACATCCTGGGCTTCGGTCTCATGGTGCTAGCAGAAAAACACCCCTTCAATCCGTCACTTCCACCGCAAGGCCTTCTCTCTGGCGGGAGCCAAAGCGAAGGAACCTCAGACACCGGAGGTCAATCAGTCCATAACTCGGTCAGTTCTCGGCGCAGCCATTCGACTCTCTTCCTTATGTTGGATGCTTCAATCATGGTACCCTGCAACCGTCAGATGTGCTGGCAGGAAATGATGGTCCACATCTCTGCATACCAGAAGATGCTCTGAGGCAAGCGGCTCCAGGGATTGTGACCGTGATCGCGTTCCCAATCCTCTTCATCCTCAAAAGCGATAAACTCGGGAAACTTAGGCTCAAGAACAGCTTGACGGGTCCAGTTGCCAGGGTGGCAATCGAGCTTGTCTGATAATCTCACAACACCAACCTGCTCTGGGTTGTCGTCCTGGATTGAAGATCAGATGGGTAATTGTGCAACCCAAGCGGATCCTACATCCTCAGACTCAACTCTGAAAGATACCTCCAGGCATCCTCGGATTTTCAGCTCCTAGCTAGTTATAGTGCGGAGAGGGAGGTAAGTGTTACTTGTAATTCCCTGCATGCACACTGCACAGCATTTCTAGGCCTCGTGCTGCAAATACACACGATGAACACACACGTGCACATGTACACACTGACCTACATACATGCATACATACTTACTTACACATATACATATACATATACATATACATATACATATACATATACATATACATATACATATACATATACATATACATATGCATATGCATATGCATATACATATACATATACATATACATATACATATACATATACATACATACATACACGCATATGCACATACAGGCAGACACTCGCGCATGTTTACATACATACACAGCATGTACATACGGGCATACGTACGTAGGTAGGTAATTAGGTACATATATGTGCATTTGCACAGAAACACAAGTACCAATATAATTACACAAATGAATACACACACATAAATATATATATATATATATATATATATGTACGTATATGTCACGTGTACTAATATGCGATCGCCAGCACACCGTAGGTTTCAGCAACCAGCTAGCTGCTTGACAGCGATCCGTTGGCATGGTGAAGGATACTTCCTTGATTGCTTCCTTAGGTGCATTGTTTGCGGCTTCGGGGCGCCTGCTCCTGCCTACTTTCCCAGGGCGATCATTAGACGTCAACAGCATCATACGTGCCACAAACTTCTTCTGCGCTTAAACTAGCATCGGGGCACTGACATACTCAGAGCAAGGCCCAAAGCCCCCAAAAGCCAAGCAGAGACCTCTTCACACTCCACAGGACAGGAACCTGAACACCCTTGAGCCCAACCCGCAAACACCAGCAATTCGAGATCGGTGCCCACTTCACTCTCTTGAGGCTTTTCGGACGGATGCTTCGCTTGCCCTGCCGACTGGACAATCAAGTCCATGGCCATGAGTCCAGAATTCAGGATTTCTGCTTTCTGTTGTAACGTTAATGCCAATTCTCGAAGACTGTACAGCAAAGATAGCTAGCGTGTTTACAGCAGCACCACATGGATGGTCGGAGTAGTGACACAGCGTGCGCAACTGGCAAGACTCACAACGCCATGACCAGAGGACGCGAACAGCACAGCTGTAACAACAATCAACACGGCCGCTGCAGCCCAGTCATCAACACCGAACACCACCGCGGTGGTGGTTACGATGACACAAACGACACAGACGACGAGAAAGAGCTGTGTACAGTGATACCACAGTCAAGACTAAGACAAAGGCATGCGCATGCCGACGAACAAGCGCAGTGAACACTTACACCGCAAGCACATATCAACGGCAGCAAAGCCTTCGGGCGCTTCACAGGCATGACCTCAGCAAGCGACAGATCGCGAGGCCTCTTCTGCATCATCAACAAAAATCCCGTGAACGAGAGTATCACAGCCGGACAGCCCCGTCTCGAATGATCATGTTGACCATGAAGGGGATTGATCCAACACTATCAACCATAAGGCCATAAGGATCAAGTCTGCAATGTGTGGCAATCGGGACGTTGTGAGTGCAGGCTGCGCAAGGACTGAAGCCCCATGTTCCAACCGTCCATCTCGGCTGCCCGCCCATTCTTCTCGGAGCTTGTCTTCGGGAAGGACCCGCTCAATCTCCATCTTCTGTCGAACCTAAGGCACTCATGGGCAATTGCGCTCCAGTCAGATAGGAGGCTCGGAAAATCAAACCGTACAGAAGCCGCAATGGGGCGAGCCTGAATCGAGGGATCGTCTTCATCTTCCTGTCCACATGCCAGAGCTTCACGATTCACTTGCGCTTCAGCCGAAAATGAACAAAGAGTGCACTGGAAGCTTTGATACTTTGTCTTGATGCGGTGGTGCTAGCAGTTGTGCCGGAGATGCTACTAAGGAAGGGCAGTGGCTGTGGCTGGCATTGTACCTACTTACTTCCAAGTCGCGAACATGAAGTACATACCACCTTTGTGCTGGTAGGTAGGTGGGGCATGGTGACTCTACGCTGCCCGCGCCCCGAAAAGACCCACCATGCAGCAAGAATCGACGCCTCATCCGTAGCACTCTCGTCTACATCTGGATCCTGCCGTGCATTCACTTTGGGAACAAGCCCCAACCAGTCCCCCAAACCTGGCCTAAGCTTCACTCTGACGATTCCTACCACGCGGACTATCACCATGAGCATCACCGTCATCAGCACAAACACCTTCGCCATCTGGAATGCCATCACTGCACCATTAACATAACCATCACCGAGGTCAGACATTGCCGTGATCGTCTTCCTCCAACTCAGCATGATCGTTGTCACTATGTTCGCTCGTCACCATCGTCATCATCAGCATCGTCATCTTCATCTTCATCTTCGTCACCATCATCATCATCGCCATCATGCCTGTGGCAAGCATGCATCCTGCTGATTTCTAGGCAAACCGAAGCCGAGTTCTTGCTACAGCTGCGATCAGTTTTTGCTTGCCGCATTGAGATTAGAAGGCCAGCCCATGACAAGTCCTAGGCTTTGGGGTTTAGGGTTTTCCTAGGGACCTCGAGAGTTGTCGCTGATGCCTGGAGAGCAGACCGCCCTCGAGCACCTCAAGCGATGCACTTTCTCAGAAATCTGCAGCTTTGGGATTCCAGGTTTACAGCATTGGGGGGTTCAAAGCGAGCAGAAGAAGGCCACTCCGAGGAAAGGAGAGCCTTTTCAGGAAAAGAGAGTCTGCCTGATAGCCATCTTGGGCAAGACATGGAGGATTTTCTCAAGTGCCCGAAACCACCACATTGACTGTCGCCGGGCCGTCTACCGTCCGAGAAACTACTGAGTCGATTTTGTCGGAAGTTAGCTTTGCTTACCCTCATCTGAGGTCTGCGCCGGAGGCATCACCGATGCCTCTCCTGTGCGCACAGTACCCAGGGATTGAGGAACTAACATCCACCTCAGCCGTGTTGAAGAGCTGTCTGATTAAGGTGTTCTTTCGAACCGTCCTGTGCTGGAAGGCAAGGTGCTGTTCGAAGCCGAAACTCTATGGCACTATGGTAGAGTGCGGCGAGCTCCGGACACAACCTGTAGAACAAGACTTGGATGACTACAACGAGAGACACCAGGTGGCCAACACTGGGTAAGACTCGCACTGACTTCCATCATGCTTCTCGACAGAGTAATGAACTAACTAACTAACTAACTAACTAACTAACTAACTAACTAATAATCAAGCCTTGCCAAGATCCGGTGGAAAAGTTCCCACGAAGGCTAAACAATGCGATACAGCTGCTACTAGACGACGGCTGCTATGACGCCTGCTGCCGCTACAGATAATGCTGCTGCTTCTGCCAATAGCTGCTAACTGCTCCTACCCACAATGCGCCCAAACACCCGAAGACAAAAGCCACCTCCGTGCCGAGCGATGTGGCCGTCGGGCACGGCCGACGACGGTGGCTGCCTCGGCTATGGCAGAGTTCCCAAGCGGTAGCCCCGTGAAGACACAATGCCGCTGCGATGGCGCCTAGATTGGGCCGGCGAGCCAGCAACATGGCTGAGGCTGCAACTCCCAATCCGACCACCAGCAGTTTGGCTGAGGCTGAGAATTGCGAGCCTGCAGCGTTGCACTTGCGGCTGTGCTGTTGTGTGGCCTGAACCACCCAGCCGACATCATGGGTGACCCACGTTGCACCCCAACACCCAGTGACAAGAGGAACGACTGTGAAGCATCTTCAGATATCCTGAGAAGCAGGGATTTCCTCGAGGAGCTCGTCTGGCTATCGGACAAATTACCAAAAGGCTTTTTCAGCTTCACATGGAAGCAGTGAGGCCTCGGTGTGGTCACCGAACGTTGTGATCGTGACAACCCTGGTGATTTTGGCGATGACGATGCTGCTGATGCTGCCGCGGCGATGATGCTGGCGATGATTATGATGATGATGATGATGATGAAGATGAAGGTGATGCTGACCATCATTAAGAAGAAGATGATAATGGTGACGAAAGTGTTCATGACGATGCTAATGATGACAACGAGAGTAATTCATGATAGTCGAGGGAGGGAAGGAACACGACGACAGCGATGATGGCAGGCTGGTGATGAGAAAGAAAAGCGGAGGACCATGATCGTGACGATAACCCAGCGATGATGATGGCGAAGATGATGAAGAGAACGACGCTGATGCATCGCGATTGCTACGATGACGACGATGGTGATGAGCATTATAACCCTGATAACAATACTGATGCATGTAATGGTGATCGCTATGACGACGATGACTTGATGATTACAGCGATGACAATGATGACCTGGGTCATGGCAACTTCGATGGGCGCTATGAGACATTTTGATGGAGATTGCAATTACTGGGCGGGTGATTCCACTTATGAACAAGCTGATGACTTGGGCTGCATGCGGCTGTGATGACGTTGGTACTTCACAACACCCCCTCCCCCCTCCCTCAGAAAACAAAAAGCATAAACTCACTGCTGCGGCCTGCGGCGCATGAAAGACTTCGGCATGGCCTTTCTGGGTCAGAGTCGGGTCACGGGGGTCATCGTCGAGGCTCGAGGTGTCCCAGGATTGAACCATGAAGATAACAGTGCCCACGCTAATGACAGTAAGTACCTCCATGACAGTGCCGATGTGTTGCTGTATTCTTGCTGCGATCCACCGTGCCGTTTATGCTGTTGCGGGCTGCCACGATGACGACAAGGACGACGAGGACGACGACTAGAAAGGAACCTTTTCTCACCAACTGAGGGCCACACTAGCCTTAAGAATTGTAGTCTGATCATGGGCGAGGGTATGACACCATGGATGGCTAGCGCCACACGTCCACACTCCACAATTTCTTGACTCTTGACTTATCCGTGAAGGTCGCCAAAAGCACCCAAAGGGTGTGGACAGTGGCGGAGTACAAGAGTAGACATGTCCAATTGGGCACTGAACCCAAACATACCCAAACACTGAAATCCGAAGGCAGTGAAGATGGCGAAAGGCCGACCTGCGAAGCACAGCAGCCGTGTGGCTCGGCGGGCGCGGAGCCTGAAGACTGGCGTACGGTACTGGTGCCGTTTGTAGTCACAGACATAGCAGGACAGTAGGAATGTTGCTTAAGGAGCACAGCCAAGAGCAGTAAAAACGACAACCACGGCAGGAGTGACAATCAGGATGACAAAAACGGGTGTGACGCGAGGTGTAACAGGTAATCAGGACATGAACTGAATGAGACCAGGCACAGCAACCCTGACGGTATTGTGCTTGGAAGCGATATCATATACTATGTAGTTACAATTTCCATGGGAGCAAGACGTCGCATTTAAACATGGTGCCTGGTTCTGCCGATCAACGCGGGGCAGGACTTACTCCAACTGCAGTGGTCGGATGAGATGTTCTTGCATCCTTAGCAATCTTGGCATCGAGGATCGGTAACCGTGGTAAGGTGTCATTAGCAGCTTTGGTCATCGCAGCATCAATGCCGGGAGTGACCGTATGAATAGCTGGAATAAATTTCGTGCTTGATCTTGTAAGATCGATAAGAAAACAAGCAAGCGACAACAATGCATTCGGATTGAGCATTCAGCACCACGTGTGGGATTTTGGTGACAGGATGTGAACTGCAGAACGAACGAGCAGGACTGGTCACAATCGTAAGAACATGTGCGACCATGTAAGAGCAAAGAAGAACTGTTCGAGGACTACAGGCCCACACCACGACCATGTGGTCTGCACTGCCGAAGCGGAACAGAAGCTGAAAGCATGTTCATGTCCAAGGGCCTGCCGTACTGCTTGGATTTCCATGATGCACACCCGTCAGTGGTCAAATGATCCTGCGACTGACCTGTAGTGCATCCACGTTGGTTGTATGTCTGCTTCATTGAATTAGTTTGGCGTGCGAAAGCACTACCGGATTTACCTGTCAACGGATGACTAGACTAGTAGTAAGTTTAGTCGTTGGGCAAGTCTCATGTGCTCACACTGCAGCCTTGTCGTGACAAGTATCACTGCTGAAGCCTTCATGTTGCAGGAGTTGCCAACGACCAGCCCCGCTAGTCTCGCACAGAGCCCGAATAAATCCACCACGTGATTTCTGTATAGTCGCTGGCGCCGGACACAAATTTTCGATTCAACAGGTGTCCACTGCCCTGTACACATCGTAGCTTGCCAAGGCTGTATCTTGCAGCGGCGTTGCATGGAGACTGCCTTCGAAATGCCGGAGAGAATCAGCCGCTCACGAATACGAATGCAGCATACAGCCCATGCTACGGAAGAGTACCACCGCTGTGACCAATCTTTCTGCACGGAGCAAACAGCAGAAGACCAGCGGCTCTACTGCAAACACACCAGCAGCAGCAACATGCCGCTGTAGCAACCGGGTCTCCTGGCGAATTATTAAAGGCTTCGAGTCAAGAGAAACCTGCCCGAAGCGCCGCAGCTGCCACAAGTCCTGCACTCTGCAAAGGATGAAAGATGCCAGACAAAGTCCTAGAGCCGACATAGGCACATTGTGATCACATTGTGCGCAGTGAAGCTACGCCGCTAAGCGGAACGCTGCCCAAAACTCGCACCAACGTTGCCCGCATCCCGGCTCTCCAGCTCTGCAACTGCAGAATACTGCAACCCTGAATCTGCAATCTACAACCCTGAAACATCCCATTCTTAGGGCTGCAG